TATACAGTTGCAACCTCTTAAATGTATAACCTCGGGGTATAGTAAATCTATTCATTTTAGTGGCACTTACCTCCACAGGGATTTCTTTCTACACCCTTGTCATAAATTAGTTTGTAGCAGATGTGTTCATTAATTGGGTCTATTAATGATTATAATTTATTCTCTCTGTACTGCCTGGGATTTTATTCACTGTAGAATTGTCATTTTATGAAGTGCTCCTCTTGAAGGGTAGGATTAATGGGGCTCTCTATTGTAAATGTCCATCCTTTTCAGTACAGGAGTGCTACCCACGTAAGATAGGAAGTGTCAGCAGGATCGGGTCCAGAATTTTTAAATATTGTTTCAAAGTACAATAAATTTGTTGGGTTTTTGATTCATTTAAGCAGCTGTTGATACGATACACAAGAGCTTTTAGACACCCGAGTTTTCAGCTGGAGCTGAGGATACTTCTATTTCAACAGTAACAAAAAGTTTTGTTGGCTCAGGTAATGTGTTGGGAGTAGCATGCAATAGTAACTTGGCACTGTGTTAGGGTTACAGTAAAATAGGCTCTTCTTAAATACATCCATTTGGGAAACTTAGCTGTATTTATCATGCCCAGAATCTCAACCTAAAAACTTTCATTATTGTTAAGGCAAGCACCTGCACAACTAATGATTAGTAGAAATATTTCTGAAACTTTATTTTTCTTTTATTGCCAATCATGGTATTTGATTTTAAACATAAATGTTCTCACCTTGGTTTCATTCTTGATTCTTTCCTCCTCCAATCTGCTGCAGTCCTTGGTGATGGTGTTAATTTCTACCCATTTGATTATTTTATCCAATAACTTTTTTTTCTGCACCCAGATGTTTATATACTAAAACAGATTGTGGTTTTTGCCTTTTCCCTAGGTAACACTATGACATCTGTATTTAGGTTTTTGCTGTTGTTGTTGTTTTCAAGCGTGTGCTGCCATCTATAGAGTAATCATTGAAAGAAAGATGGTATAAAAAGTCATTTTATTGAAAGATTACAGAAAACAAGATCTAGTCAGTGCAAGAGGTACCTTAGACCAGTTGGTCAGATCTCAAGAAATCCTGTTTCTCCATTGCCCCAGATGTCACAGTATGCACAGGTGAAAATACACCACTTATGACTTTTATGAGTTAAGTTATTCAGTAGATTTATTTCTACGGGACAAACTACCAGGGCAGCCTGAAAATTGGAGTAAGGTTGTTTTGTCCTCTAATCGTGTGACTGGTTCCTTTTCCTTCCTCATTACACTTCACCTCTCCTAGTCCTTCAGCAGTTTCCAAGATCTGTTTATTAAAATCTTTTCTTCCTTCCTTCCTTCCGGCTCCGGAAGCTCTTCAGGAAGGAAGGGACGGACGGAATGAAGGAGGAAGGAATGAAGGCAACAGGTAAGGGGAAATGTAGGGGGGTAAGGTCCTTGGAAGGGAAGGTTAAGGGAGGGAAGGGAGGAAGGGAAGGGAAGGGAGGAAGGGAAGGAAGGGAATGGAAGGGAAGTAAGGTGAAGTACGGGAACTGGAAGGATTACGCGGAAGGTGAAGTGACTTTCAAGGAAGGGAATTTCCTTTCCACCTTACTTTCCATCCCCCCTTCCTTCCTTCCTTCCTTCCTTCCTTCCATTCCTTCCTTCCTTCCTTCTTCCTTCCTTCCTTCCTTCCTTCCGTCCTCCTTCCTTCCTTTCCTTCCCTTTTTTTTTTTTTTTAAATTAATGTTGACTCCTTACTGATCCTCAGCATCTTGTTAACTGGCTTGATGTCTCTCTTCTGTGTCCAGCTCTAACCTGCCAGGTTCCAGGTTTTTCCCCTTTAGATCCCTTCAGAATGCACTACTGAGATCAGCTCCCATTATCTCTCTCTTTCATTGTGTTTTCTTGCTTGGCATCTATTTTATTGTATACATTTATTGCAATATGTTTGGACTGGAAAGCACTTGGATAAGTCATTTTCTTTATGCTTTCATGAAGTGCCAGCAGGCTACCTGAGCACGCATAGCATCTATCAGCATTTTTCTTGATATTGTTCACATGCTTTTGAGCTTGCAAGCTTTCGACTAAGGATTTTAGTGTGTTACAGGCTCAGATATGGTAGCATTAGGTATATGAGTTGTTTGCAATCAGGCTTCTATTAATTTGACTTATGAGATGTGACAGAGAACAACTACAATGGTGTTAAGTCTTTCCTCAGCAACAAGTGTTGGAGTGAGGGGGTGTTTAACCACTACTATTTAAATGCTTTCTTATAACAGAAGACATCAGGATCAAAACAGAAGGTTTAACCTATATGGATGAGGCATTCTTAAAAATATATTCTGACATTTTATTCTTATTGCTGAACTTAGAAATTGATTTTATTTCCTGGCATGACAGACAAAACGAAGAAAAAAAATCAATAATGACGATTGATCAATGTTTTTCAAAACTGACTTAATAAGATAAAAATCAATGCAGCTGTATTATTTGCCATTATTTTATCACCAGTAACATTCAAACATGGTAATATTTGATTCTTAAGTTAAAATGTGAAAATATTTCAGTTACCTCCTGCAGAGACAAAACACTTGAGCAAGGGCAAGGGATTTATTTAGTCAAACTTCGGTTTTCTTTTTTAATCCTAATTTTGGAACTTTGAGTTCTGCAGAAACTGAACAAAGTTTTATATTTTAAGTGCCAGTATATAATTGTTCCTTTAATAACAGAGATTTAAATAGAACAAATTAATACTTGTATTTGCAAATTACAAGTTCTGAACCTCCTTTTCTCCTGCAAATAGCAGTTCCATCTTCTGTGGTTGAAAGATGCGTACTTGCAAACTCCAAGATAAGCTTGGGCACCTAATTTACCGTGTGGCAGACTTGCAGTGCTTTGACTTTAGAGCCTTACTGGACAAATGCATTAGCTGTTAATCTTTTTTGGCAAAAATTAGAAGTTCATTTGTTTTGTTTGTCTGTTTTTTTCCCAATGATCATTTCCGTTTTCTGTCCCCAACAATAATAAGGTCCTTTGCTGATTTATTTTAAATAAATAAAGGTCTTAAAATCTGTCTTGCGTAATAACAGTAAACCAATCCCCAAGCCATGAGTCTGGCTTAACAGCTGAGAGGATTTTTTTTTTACAAAAATAATCTTCATTTTAATATTTTAATTCCTGCCTACCTGCTGGCTTGGATTTAGCCCTTCGGGCTCCTAGTTTGAAATTACTATTACTGTTGAGGGCTAGAAACTGGCCTTATTAGGGAAGAAAGTCAAGATTCTCACATAATCATGAGGAAACGTGAAATGGCATTTTAGGGAAGTATCAAATATTGAAAGACTCTTAATACAGTCATGGATATGGGCAAGCCTCTGATAATGGCATCTTCTGTTTTAAAGATTTATTTCTTGAGAACAGAAAGACAGATTTCTACATAAATTTCTTATAGATATGGATTCAATTCAGTAAGCGGGGCCAAAATGTCAGAAAATGAAAAATGCAAAGTTAATAATAGGTAGGCACAGTTTGAGTAATACAGAGCTTGATTAGGTTCTCTGTTGGGCCAGTTACTTTTACCTCTCTTTTTAATAGATGAATGCAGTGAGTTTTCTCCTCAGATAACCCTGAGCAGCAGCAATATGTACATTCATCAAGAACAGACAGTCCCACTCCTTTGTTCTCTCCTTCATCGGCGGCATCATTATAGACAATATCTGTGATTGCCTTATGAGAGAGCTTGCACTTGTACTTCTCCTCTCCTGTTCCTCCTCTCTCCATACAGCAAGAAAGAAGTAGCATGGCAGATTGCACAGCTAAAAGGTTATCAAGCCTGAATTTGTTACACCTCTGAATTTGGCAGGCAACCATTCACAACCACTATAGGAATACATGGCTCATCACCACATGAAGCTGGACACCCTGAGAAGATAGATGATATTGGATTGGTTTTCATGTTGCCCTGCAAACAATCAAACAGGCGTAAGCTATGCAATCCAATACTCCCTAATTGACAGCTTTTCCAAGGTTCATTTGTTAACTGAGAGCATGACATGTATTGAAGTTGTTTCTTCATAATGCATTTGGCATTAACAGGAGAATCTGTCAAACACCTCAGATATCAGCATCTCGGTAATAAGATACTTTGCCTCCAGTCTTGACTTTCTAACTAGTGACTTTATATTTGCAGAGGCATTTGGAAGGAGACTATGAGAGGGCAGACAGGACACAAAGAAAAAAGTTTAAGTGCATTCCCCAAATTAAAATCTGTGAGAAAGTTTTTTTGCTGGTTTGGAAATTTATGAGATTTATCCTTCAACTGTTTCTTTTTTCCTTTGTTATAAGACCTTGGTTTCTTGCTTAGTAACATACTCACTGAATAATGCACTGGGGTTCAGAGTTGTTTTTTTTTATTTTGGTAGATTAAAAAATAGGCAGATCTGATTTTATTTGTAGCAATGAAGAATTTGTGTACAAAAGACATGCTCAAGGATTTAACTTGCCTGTGGATCCACAAGAGAATAAAACCCCAAAGAAACCCATATTTCTAATGAATCTTAACCTTCCTCCAGATGAAGCTCATGTTTGTTTGAAAGAATGAATTACCTATGCAGAAAAGACCAGAGGATGATTTTTCCACTGATTTTGTCATTTTTTTTTCATCTGCTATTGTAGCTAGTCATAATAAACAAATTAGTTTCTTGAAATAAAAACTGCCAGGACTCTGAAATCTAGCTTTTTCTCTCCATTCTGTGGAAGATTTCCACTATCTGCTCTTCACTGGGAGTGTTTATATGCTGATATATGGAAGATGTTCACCTGGGGTCTTTGAGTACTTTGCAAAAGCTTGGCCACAAACCTGTTGTCATTAACAGCTGTCACTTTTCATATGTGCCATAATGATGGATACAAGTTGAATTTCCCTTAGATGTCCAAAAAAAAAAAAAAAAAAGTTCACTTGGCTGTTGTTAACTCTGTGTAAGCGTGTTACTCTGCACTGACCTGGGGCCTTTCTGCATTGCAGGGCAAACACAAGCTACGAGTAGACACGGGACTGGAAGGTGCCTGGTGCGGCCTCATCCCTGTTGGGAACCCCTGTGACAGTGTCACCACCACTGGCCTCAAGTGGAACCTCAGTAAGTCGAGTGCCTCCTGGGTGGTGGGTTTGTCATCACAGCTGCACGCCTCCACACCACTGGCTGACCTGGCCTTTACACCAGCCTCGATGTGCCGAAGGGGTTTGGGTGTTTGCAAGGCAGAGAGTGGCACTGGATCCCTGCCAGGCCATTTGTTTCTAGAAGTGAATTTAAAAAAAAAAAGTGAGTTATATTTAAAACTGAGATTTCACAGGCAGAAATGTGTTTTCCATTTGAGAGTCATTGTGCTGTTTTAATAGAGCATTTGTTGGGGTCATGATACATTACCATCTTGATACGTTGCCCTCCAGGGAGGGGAAGCTGCAAGTGCCTAACTCCTAGTTAAAAGCACTGAAGTTAAAACAGACAAATAATAACGTGATACAGATTATTGAAGCCACGTCACTTCCCCTGAGACACTTTATGTATATTGTCTTTTTGTCAGCTCTGAATAATTACATCTTTTTCTTTTTTGGAATGAGTCCAGAGGAGAGCCATGAGACTGATCGGAGGGCTGGAGCACCTCTCCTGTGAAGAGAGGCTGAGGGAACTGGGGTTGTTCAGCCTGGAGAAGAGGAGGCCCCAGGGAGGCCTTAGAGTGGACTGACAGTTCCTAAAGGGGGCTACAGGAAGGCTGGAGAGGGACTCTTTGTCAGGGACTATAGTGACAGAACAAGGGGGAATGGCTTTAAACTAAAAGAGGGTTTAGATTAGATACTTGGAATAAATTTTTCGCTATGAGGGTGGTGAGGCCCTGGCACAGGTTGCCCAGAGAAGCTGTGGATGCCCATCCCTGGAGGTGTTCAAGGCCAGGCTGAATGGGGCTTTGGGCAACCTGGTCTGGTGGGAGGTGTCCCTGACCATGGCAGGGAGCTTGGAACAAGGTGATCTTCAAGGTCCCTTCCAACCCAACCCATTCTGTGATTCTATGGTACTTTTTCTCATTCTAAAGTGGGAAAAGCGTGTTTGATCTGGAACTGGGACTTCTATCTGTAGAGAAAAGAAGTTTCTTCATAAACAAATAAAAGATATAATCATCCACCTGCTCTCTCTTCCCACTCTGAGTCATTCAGGCTGTATATACTGAAGAAAATAGATATTTTTTTTTAAGATAGAGTTTCATTAGAACTTAAGGGAAGCAAAGCAGTAATTTTCATGCTCTGATTTTGCAGTCTGCTGTACATGACCAGACTTGAGAGCTATTATTCCATGTAGAAAGTGTAGAAAGGGCACATTGTTGTCACCGTTTGCTGAGCATTGCCCCTGTTGACAGATGATTAATCTGAGGCTTACCCACTGTGCTGGCCAGCAGCCTGTGTGCTAGTCTGGGGAGTGTCTTGTTCCACGGAGCATTTGAGTATGTGAAATTAAGTAGTATGATGAAAGATACAAGTATGGCATTAATTTCGGGATATGAGAGACTTGCCAGATGGAGGGATGGAGAGCTGTCTGGCTAGTGATGTTTTTATTCTCTTAAACTGGATTGTGAGAGCTAAATGTATGCTGTAAGGGACAGTTCTCTTAAGTTGAAAAAGTCAAATATTTTCATTTGTACTGATAAGTACAGTTGACAAGTAAGTTACTGAATCTTCATCTGCTCCTCTCCTGTGGAGCAATGAATTTTATGCCCTGTTGCGCTGAGGGACTACCCATTTCTCAGTGAATTTTCTGCCCTGCAGAGTGAGGTGAAGGAAGCTCAAACCAGCCTTACATTAATGAAGAGAACATCTTTGAAGCTTTTATCACTCTGTAAAAGTCTGTGAATCAAAACGTGGTGGACTCTGTGAGGCTACAGTCCTTTCTTGGGGTTTTAATTGATTAGTTTAAAAAAGGGTTATTTTTTAGATACATCAGATTTTTTTTGGAGTTTAATGTCATAAATTTAATCAGTTTTACAAGGTGCTGATTAGAAAGATGGTAATTTTAAAGATGATCTGTCTGCTATCACAAGTTACATGGCTTTGTTACTCCTGACATCATGATTTGCCTTCATCTGTTGAAACTAAATGTCACCCTATACTAAAAAAAAAAAAAAAGAGATTTTTGTTCTTTCAAACAAAGTTTTTCACACGTCCTTAAGAAGAAGGGGTCTTCTAGTCTACCTGTACCAGTTTGAGGGGAACACGAGATGCAGTGATAAAAAGCAGTAATAGTTCATATCTAGGATTGGCTTGAGAAGTCAGTTTCTTCAATGTTTAGCTTTCTAATTTTGCTGTATTAGACTTCTTCGGTTTCCTAAGAAGCATAGCTAGATATGGACCTACTGGGATTTTTATTGCACTTAATTCAGTCTTTATTTTTTATGGAAGACACAAAAAAGTATTTAAGCGACTGTTGTTTTGTGCTAATGTGACACCAACATCCCTTCTTCTCCCAGTCATTATTGTTCTCCATCACTTAGAGGAAACCTCAGACATTTACTGTGTTTTCCTTAGTGATGTGTACACTGCATCCTGTTACAGGCTACACTGTACAGCCTCAGTATTTGCGTTTCTCACAGGTCGTAAATGAAGGAACTATTTCTCTGCATTATCATCACAGATAAATAAAACCAAAAATAATCTGGTATTCCTTGAAGATATTTAATCTATCTGAGACACCAAAGCCATTACAACCTGAAATTGATCTTGTTCCCAGGTGACTGGAGCTAAACTTTACTCATCCAAATACAAATTTTGAATCAGGTTACTGTTCGGGTATTGATGAAACAAATGGAAGTGTAGTTGCATCCACAAAAGGGAAACCAATATCTCAAATAGAGCATGTCATTAATTGTGACTCAGATTATTTTTGTCCTAGTAAATAAGCCTTATATTCAGGTAATGTAAGTTTGATATTAGCTTATATTGTGTTTCTGGCTTTTGTGCTGCCTTCTGCCATTACTTATAAAACTATTAGTCCTCCTGTAATTTGCAATGGAGAGAAGTGAAGGCTCATCTGGCAAAAAAAGGGAATGAGAAGACATTGAAGTCTGACCTGGATATCTGCACTGTTGCTGGCGTCTGGGAGCAGTAGTGCTTTCCCTGTTTGCTTATTAATGGCATTTTTATGACACAGTTTCATAAACCTCAGTGAATGAAGTGATTTGGTTATAAATTCGTATTTTGGTGTGTAAATCATGGAAGAAATTTTCAATCCAAACATGATATGACAAGCCTTTTTCCCCCATTTTGTCATGGAATTAATAGAACATGATCTAACAAATTAGTGTAATTAGTGTTTTTTTTTGTGTTTGTTTGTGTTTGTTTTTTTTTTTTTAAATAATTTTTGAGTCCTCAAAATATTGTTAAGTTCCTTGGTTGTAAACTATTTTCAGAATTTTGGTTCTGTTTGAACAGCCAAAAAATGATATGTTAGGTGTGAGGGAAGCCCTCATTTTTGCAAGCAATAATTTCCAGCAACTCAACATTCAAATAACACTGCAGTGAAAGAAAGAGCTGGCTTTGCGTCAAGGTTTTTAATGTTTAACAAAGATTTCTCTCTGAGCATATCTGGATTACTCTGCTGATTAAAATGTGTAAAACCTTCAAGGGGTAGTCAAACGTTATCTGTGTCTAATCTACAGGTGCTGTCATGAGACTTCATAGCGTCTGAATAGAAAAAGACAAGGATAAATGCCTAAGACAGAAGCTGTATTGGGGTTGCAAGTAGGATACCAAGGCCCTCACTTTAATGGCTGAATTAGATAAACCTGAAATCTGTAAATTATTCTGCCAGCTCAGAAACAAATGCACTTGATGTCTTGATTATACTTTTAATATTGCAGAATTCAGTACTTTTGTGTTTCTGTGTGAGGATGCAACATGTATGCATGCTTTTATGCATGCTTGTCTTAGTCGCCAAAAACAGAACGTTCATTTGTTTTAGTTCTCATTTTATGGGTGAAAGAACTTGGAGAATAAAGTGGAAAATTGATTAGAGAAAATATTTTTATCCATACTTGCTATTGTGCAGCACACATTCAGAACACATTATAAACATATTCTTTCCATTCCCAAAGGGATACAGATCTCTCCTCTATTAAAATCTGATTTACAGCACAGGAATCAGATAATGCTTTATATGGTTTGACTCACCTGGCTGCTTGCTGATAACAGCTCCCATGCCTAATAAATAAATAAAGAAAAATCCAATAATGCCAGAATTACCCAGCATTCTTATTTACGTCCTCAGTGGTGCTTTCATGGAACTTGAATGAGAATGAAGGTAGAAATCAGCTGCAACGTTCACCATAGAAGAGGTTGGAGGGTAATGGTAGACTTTTCTCAGAAATGGTTCCTTTTCTAGTAAATTACTGTAGAAAATAATCTCACCAGCTAATTTACTCTTCATCCCTCTGGCCTTTGATATGCTGCATGTCATGCCTGTACTGAAAATATCAGCATATAGATATATATAAATGTGTGTGTATGTGATTGTGCTTTCCAGATAATTTTCATGCAAATTGGCTTCTTTAGGCAGGAAGTTAAATTGCTGTAAAATGCTGCCATTCAAAAGAATGCCAGTCATTTCACTTCAAATGGCAATAGCAATAACAACAGGAGCAAGACCTTCTTCCTCTAACTGTAGCAGCAGAGCATCCACTAACAACTAACTTCACAGGTAGAAAAACAGGATTCAAAATCCTTTTGATGCTGTTTACATTGCTAGTAGAAGTAAAATGTTTGCACTGTTTTTCCACTACATTGGGGTTGTGTTGACATTGGGCATCGCAGATGGGACAAACAGGTTGTAAAAGCAACGGGTTTTTATGTTTTAGGAGAAATGCAGAGACTAAAAGATGAAAGAAAAGAACTAACTCCCTAAGGAAAAAATGAATCAGAGAGTGAGGGACAATTCTGGAAAGGGCAATAAATTAAGATGAACATCTATGCATCTAGCAAAGCTGTTTCTGTAAGCACTCTAGCCTGTTTCATAACTGAAGTAGTGTATATGGCACACTTTGCTGCCCCAGTTCATTCTGAGTGAGGTAAACTTAGCAGCACTTGAAGGAGGAGGTC